GGGCCTTTCTAGAACAAATCATACTATCTAAAAAGCAAAGAGGTTTCGGCACTTTACGTTTGATTGTAATCTAGGTGCTTTTGACTCTGGAGTTTTCTTTTCTGTTTAGTTATCTTTTTTTTTTATCTGACAGGAAAAATGGTGATCTTGTTCATTATTTTGCTGTATGTTGATTAATTTGAACCTCCGCCTCGTTTGTCTCTTTGTCATTGTTAGGTCTCTTGTTATAGTTAAACACTGTGTTTCTTTCGCGAATGTTGTTTATGTAAAGCATCTTGCAACAAAAAAAATTTTTTTAAATCTTTTTTTTTCTTTTTCCTTAACTTTTAGCCAGACAGCGGCCCTCAAATTGTGTCCGTGGCAATTGCTGATTCTTTTGATTTGGTTGGTATTATCAGGGATGAGCAATTGACAGCTTTTTATGTTCCAACATTTGTAGATGAAGGTATGAACTAGCATTTTTTTAGAAATTATTGGAGGCTTATTGCATTGAAACTAGCTGCTAGAAAATAACTATTACTCTACTAAAAATTTACAAGATTTCACTTGGCAAAGGAAAATTAATTAATTAGGATTTTTATAGGGGAAGTTCTGCTAATATATTTAATTGGTCTCTTGGTTTAATTGTATACAGCTTTAAGCAGGGTAAAATAGGATTTTGGTTTCTCCTAAACATTGGTCTTTTCGAGCTGCTTTATATTTCGTGTTTTCAGAATCTGACGAAGGGCTACATTTTGTGCCTAAGAAGGAGTATATAATTGATCAAGATGCTCTTCGTGAGTTCTTCGTTTTTGTGGACGGGGTTGTTGTTTTTTGGGATATGGAAAAATGTGAGGTAATTCTCTTTGTGAAGGCACTTCTCTTGCTTCAATTTCATAGCTTTAAGTAATCTTATTAATTGAATTTATACTCGTTATTTGGAACAGTATCAGGCGAAACCATTACAAACAGGGTCTGGTGAGCATGACAGTTGTTGGAACAATAGTTTCATTTCAGTCATAATTTTTTATATTTGAATAGCTCATATTTATGATGCCTAACGAGAACTTTGCTGGTGTTAGCTTTTTTAGCGTGAAAATGTGATCCATTTCCTTAATCAACACGCCACTGGACTCTACAAAGCAGAGATCGTTGAAGAAGAAACGGACTCTCTTCCGTTTTCTATCATTACAGGGCAAGAATTTTTGCCGTCATAACTTTCTTTGTTAAGAAAAAA